GCGTCGGTTAATAAGTTAATAAGTTAATCCAAATCCCCTAAATAACCAAGAATGTTCATTTCACTTATTAACCGACGCGTACGCTTACGTAAACGGTCACGAGGCAGGTATAGGATCATACAGTAGTTCGTTACATACGATTGGACCGTCGGTCACAGCAGTATTTTTGGCGTATATAGACGGGAAAACTGAATAAATCAAGCCAGCACATAACAGAACAGATGAGTAACAGTTTAAACAGTTTCTAACGGCTAAAAAAACACCAATATAATGGAGTCTAACGGCTAAAAAACCACCAATTTTTGCCCTAGCGCCCTTGATTTGTGTATTGAGTTGTTACTCTAGTAAACGCCCGTGCCCTTGTCATGCCTCACTGAATTCCTATGTCTTGTTTAATTAAGCGCTAACTATCTCCTCTTTCTTCCTAACTATTTCACGGGTATATTATTTGCACTCTATTGCCAAAAAGATATAATTAGTTAAATGTTATTGTGTATGACAGGTTTTATTTGTATAGGTAAGATGATTTCGAGTTCAATTTGGAATTAATTTGCACGAGATTGTTTTTCAAAAAATCCGTAATTGCATGAGAACTCCAAAGTTTACGCGATCATTGAGAAATAACACTTCTTTCGCTCGGTGTGGTTATTTTTTGAAGCCATTAATCATTAAACATTTGCAAGTAAATAGCTGTTTCTTATTGGCTCATGACAAGCAATCTTCCAACATCTCACGTGATCCCGAAGGGTATCGAGTTGGTAATAGGATTTTTGCAATAGATTGACACGTGATTGTTACTGGATGGCAAAAAAATTGGACCTCCTTTATTTAAAGATTACTAATGCTGGATTACTAATGTCGCATCCAAAACCTTTTCAAAAATACTTTTCCTTATAAGATAGATACGAAGCATGCAATTTAAAGTTCTTTGCCATCCAGCAGAGCCTTCCCTAAGGGACCTTGAGCTGAATTGATTCGTTAGTAAAGTCATATATCAGCACGTGACTGCTTGTTGCAAAATGCCAAGACTTACCTGGAAGTTGAAGTATTGGAATTCTACCGAGCCAGGGAGATGCTGAGGGATTACGTGCACTTCCCTATATCGCCCTTCCTATTGCAATAATGGATATCTTAGTCATTCGCCATTTTTTGAAACATGGGTTTTGGTCACATGCTATATCTCACGTAATCCCTCAGTATTTCCATTGTGCTAGGTAGAATAGGACATTTGCACGATGGCGCCATTGACCTCTACTACCAGACTCCCTTGCACACTTTCTTTTGTTCAGTGAATTAGCACCAATTGTCTTACTATACTCATGAGGGAATACAAATTTAACTAATAAAGAAAATTCGCGAAGTATCTTGGTAGTAGGAGTCAAATGACGCCATCATGCAAACGTCCTATTCCATTCAAACTTCAATTTCCAGGTAAGTCTTGTTTAATTTGAGAATTCTACATTCAAACATATTTTATGTGTTTGCAACTAAATCTGGAGTTGTAAACAAAATGACGTCACAACTTGTGCTAATGTTTTTTGAATTTCTAGAGGAATACGTTGTTGAAACAAATTTAACCGTGATATTCTTATTAATGCCAATAAACTTAACATTTTCAACATTACATTTTTTTCGTGTCATATACACTTAAAACTTTACTCAAGATTTCGTTTAAAACATCCAATGATACAGTAACATATCGATCAGTAGTGCGGAAGGAAACAAGCTAAAGCGTGTCATTGCTCGTGCCCAGGCTCCGCCGGCACGAGTCTTAAAATGCAACGCGTATAGTTTTTTTTTATTGTTCTTCGTCCAAGTCGAGAGGCTTAGTCTCCCACACCTTCTCAAAGATCCAGGCTGCACAGGCTAGAAGTTTTCCATCCGGCAAGTTGACTCGTTATTCTCAGCTCTTGAACTTGACAGTATGGATATTCTTACAGCCTATATTTATACAACCAACAAAAAAAATCAAAAAACATGAGGTACATAGCAATATTTATTTTTAAATTCTACTTGATTAAAGAAGCAAAATGAATAATTTGCTACTCTCATTCCAGGGTTTACCATTCAAAACCTTATGATCTAATTTTAATTTTTTTTCAAAAAAATGACGATTCATTAAAAAATATCGATAAATTATAAAATTATAAAATATAAAGCAATTATGAGAGAGGTCTTGAGCGAATATTAGCCTGTATTTACGCTTTAAATGAAGCATTTTGATTTTAAAGCGAGCCGTGCGAATGTGCATATTTCGCACAACAACCTAACCACGCTAAAATCCGGACCGGAACTGGAATTGGATGTTCCAGATTGAGTTATTCGATGACTTTGATGAGTTTGGCATAAACGCTCTGCCTCAAACAGCTTTCAACACTGTCGTTCGAAATTTTGCAACTTATTTTTACTTCTGCTTTAGATTCTTAGAGACTGTAGAGACTCTTAGATCGAGACACTAGCAAACCGTCCCAACCAGGGTCTGGTTTATCATATATCATATACTTCGAGACATCACGAAATACTTTATCAGTAGTTTTGGAAGCTCAACCAACTAAATACTCCATGCATGTTGAAACCAGGTCCTTCAGTCCCCCTTCCAGGTATCCCACAAAATAATACAAGCTGAATTAAAGGCTCATTCTAGTCTTATGTCTTGCCTCATTATTAAGCAAGGATCCTGAAGGGCGTCCTAATCACATCCAAGTCCAAAAGAACAAATCTAAATCCCATTTTTCTCTTGTTTGTGAATCCCAGTCCCAATGTGCAAAATTCCATTTCCCAGCTCTAAGGGAGTGTTCATTATTAATTGCTTATGAATATCCCAGCTCCCATTTTAAGGATAACTCAGCAACCACTATACTTGTACAGGGCACGACTTAACCCTGAAGTCAGGGTCTAGTTCCAGATAGAGTGCAAACAATATAACCGTAAAACTTTAGTACTTTAGTACCTTTACTTGTACAGGGCACGACTTAACCCTGAAGTCAGGGTCTATAGTTCCAGATAGAGTGCAAACAATATAACCGTAAAACTCTAGTAATACTAAATAGCACATGCAAATTCCATTGTTTTCAAGACCCTGGGCTCAGGGTGCGCTGGGATACCTGGTAAAGATAGGCCTGGTTATGAAATATAGGCATAACATCGAAATATGTGATGTGATTGCTGGAAAGGTTGCGCATCTAGAGAAGTAATGTTAGACATTCACACTTTTGGGGTCTCTGTGTTGTGATTTAATTTGCTGATGTTTTTGATGAAATAAATAAGTGGGCATTTTGAATTGAGTCGATCAGCAATGCACAGTAAAACTATGCAGAATTTATTTGTGAACACTTTCTCAGAAAGAAAAATCATAACAAACCTTACTTATCAAAGTCATCGAACAACTCAATCTGGAACTCCAATTCTATTTCCGGTCCTGATTTTGGTATACATAATTAGGTATCATTAATGTGCACATTCGCACGAAAATTGTATAGCTCGCTTTAAAATCAAAATGCTTCATTTAAAACGCAAATACAGGCTAATATTTGCTCAAGACCTCTCTCATAACTGATTTAAATTTTATAATTTTATAATTTATCGATATTTTTAATGAATCACCATCTTTTTGAAGAAAAAATAAAGGAGACCATAACGCTACGAACGGTAAAGTTTAAACCCTGGAATATGCGTAGCAAGTTATTTATTTATTTATTTTGCTTAAAATAAATATTGCTATGTACCTCATGTTCATTTGTGAGTAGACTTTGAAGCCAAAACAGTTAATATAGATACATAAATACAGGCCATAAGAATATCTATATTGTCAAGTTCAAGAGAATAACGAGTCACGCCGAATGAATTTTTTAATACCATCGCTTATCTTGAAACCCTGTTCTCCTTATCGATCTTCGCTTGTTCGTGCAGAAAATACTGCTCGAGTAGATGATTCATGAAGAGTTAACCAAAACAAGCTATTGCTCATGAAGTTCATTGAAAATTCTTAGAAATAATCCTTCGAAATCATCGCTATCTTCTCGGCTTGAAATCCTTCTTTACAAAATTGATAAATTAATATTTCTAGTTCGGCTGTCTCGAATGAAACAGCAGTCAACGAAATGCGTATGCGTAGACACAAACTTCTGCCACGTGATCTGCTAGCTCCGCCCACTCATAATCACTTGACAACATAGTGACATTGATTGACATCTGGTACTTGACAATTGAATGGACTATAGACGGGAACCCTATAGCAGATACCCGCAAAGGTATCTTGGGTAAGTTCCAGAAGACCCTGGGTACTACTATTGCGCAACTTGTTCAATTTGCGGAGCAGGAATCAGAAAAAAAACCCAAGGCATTTTATAGCTGGTATACCACAGGTATCCTGCAATTAGCACTATTTTGTACTATTTAGTGTTTCACGGACTAGTTGTTTGCACTCTAGTTGCCACTATTGTATTCTAAAATTCTAAAAATTGTTTATCGAAAATGAAATTGTCTTTTTTCATGCTTTCTTATTTATCATCGAGCCAGCCCGTACCGCTCGGAACGAGTTACATGATTGGATTAAAAAACAATAGACTGGTCATCCAAACAATAGCACTAAACCTAACCTTACAAAAGCGGTACTGTACTTAGGGAGCAATGAAAATCCAGCTTTCGAGCGGTTTACTCTTATCATCTAGTAACTTAAATTTATCTGCGCGAAAATATTTATTCGCATAGTTTGTGATCATCGAATGAAAGTTTTCACTTTCAAAATGTTCATACATGAAAATAATAAGGAAATGAGTATTTTCAGCAACACTTGCTTTGGTTCATTGTGCACCATGAGTATCACGTGATGGTACGGTTCAACATCAAACGCAAAACAATAGCTTTGTCCTATGGACTTTCCAAATCATTCCGCTCCATTAACTATGTCTTTACTCTTCCAGGTGAGAACACACGGTCGTCTGCTGGCCTGGTAAATACACGTCTGACGGAGGATGATGYCACAGAATTATGTAAACCTATTGGCCGTGACTGGCAGTCCTTAGGTAGAGAATTGAAGTTTCCCAAAACTACCCTGGATGATATTTCAGATGACAAAAGCAACCATACTAACAAAGACAAAGCCCATGCTTTGCTTATCAAGTTCATTCAACAACATGGAAGTGATGCAACCAAAGGCTGTCTGGCTAAAGCATTGATCAAAATAGACAGGCGAGATATTGCTGAAAACCTCATAGGTATGATGATAGATGATATTCTTTTCGTTCTTTCGTTCTTCCATTCGTTCTTTTAATTGTTCTTTCATATGGTTCAGCATTTATTCGTTTGTGCGTTCCTTCGTTCACTCGCTAARCCTTTTTCTTCCTCCCTCCCTCCCTTTCTCCCTTCCTTCCCATCGTTGACAGTTTGACAAAAGACAAAACTAAAATATATAATAATAAATACATCAACTAATAAAAAAAATCTAAGTATTGCATAAATAACAATTTTTACATCTCTCTGAGATGAGATTATCAATATCTATTTTCCTTACTTTTCTCTTATAATGAGTTGAATTGGAATTCTTCATATCCCTTGGCAACTTAGCCCACACAACCGGCCCGATATATCTTAAACTATGCTTTCCACTTGTGATAGTATTAAACCTAGGAATTGTAAAATCGTCTGAATTTCTAAGCCCATAATTATGAACAGTATTTAAACTTTAATATCCGATATATAGGTAGGACACAATTTGTTTTTAACTTTGTACATTAGTATTGCAATATGTATTCATACGTGCACTAATTCTTTGATTTTTCCCTTGCTTGCAATTTATCTATTCATTAACGAATCATTAATATCTAATATCGAGGCAATGAGCATTTTACGAGTAAAACATCGCACGAACAGATGTTCTTTTTAAAAGAGGAAAGAAGCTTTAAAATCCCTGAAGAAAATGGCCAAGTAAGTTAAGTATAAAGTAATCTTCTTCATCCCTATGCACAACAGCCTCAACCACCATCATCATCACTATGCATAACAGCCACAACCACCATCATCATCGCTAGGCACAACAACCACAACCACCATCATCATCACTAGGCACAACAACCACAACCACCATCATCATCACTAGGCACAACAACCACAACCACTATTACCACTATTACCACTATCACTACCACTACCACTATTACCACTATTACCACTATCACTACCACTACAGCTACCACTACCGCTACCACTATTACCACCACCGCTACCACTGCCGCCACCACTGCCGCCACCACTGCCGCCACCACTGCCGCCACCACTGCCGCCACCACCGCGGCCACCACTGCCGCCACCACTGCCGCCACCACTGCCGCCACCACTGCCGCCACCACTGCCGCCACCACTACCACTACCGCTACCAGTTTATTATCATCATCATGTTCATTCCTACGACCAACATCACGAGCTATGTCACTGTCACCACCCCCACCATCATCACTATCACTATACCCTTCCTATTCAGCAGCTGTTGTTAATGTCAAGAAAAATATATGATTGATATAATTGTTGGCTTAAGGCGATTATGATTGACCCAAACCTGATTGAGGATCCCCTTGCATGCAGGATGTAAGATTCTGTCGGAACATCCAGAATGGCAAGTTGTACCTTGTAAGGGAGCTGACTGGGACGGAATACGAAGAATCTTGCAAGGCATTAAAGCAAGAGGACGCTATTGCCGATTCCACCCTAAATTCCCTTGATGTCCACGATATCGCGGAGGAAGAAAGACAGAAAAAGGAAAACCAAAAGTTTAAAGAGGCCCAAGACAAGATAACGAAACTCCTAAAAAGGTTTCAAGAGCTAACCAACCGCATTCAAAACCAGAAGAGAAATGTCTTGTCACAGTTACATGAAGAAAAGACATCACTTGCAGAAATGCAGATGCTAGGTACAGGTTTGCTCCAGTTAACTGGCATTGTCTCACATTTGAAGGACCAAATCCCTCTTCAGGCGCAGATGTACAGCTTTTCTCTCGGGCTGTGTGCGATACTCAAAGACTTGGAGGAGAGAGTGAAGGTGCTGAGAGGAATGGCTCCCAGGTAAATAAATAGGGGATAAATATTCAGTACTAGAGACCTCTCACTCATCACCAGCGGGTAAAAACATTTTAATAAAAGCTGCACTTTTCTGCTTCGTCATCCAAAAAACGTTTACTGCAATTCGCATTTTATGATAGTAATAATTTAAAAAATGCTTGCTGTGTTGTGTGCAGTTATAAGAAAGCTCTTGGGGCTTGGCTCGATAAAACTCAATAACACTTTATACATGGGTCTTTAAATTTTACAAAACTGTATAAAATAAAAATAAATAAAAAAAAGTTAAGATCAGTGTGGAAAAGCAATCTGCAGCGCGTCGTGTTTCTCCTAACAATTCTCTCGTATTCTGCCGCGTGTTTCATAACTGCACACAGCTCGCATGCGGTTTCGATTTCTTATTTTCTTCAATAAATCACTGGCTTTTTTCTTTAGCGGCGAAACTCAAAGATTTGAGAAAGTGCTAAACCAATGTCGAAACCTGACAAAGCAAGTGCAAATGAATGAAAACCGTTTTTTAAAACGCTCTCAAGAGGATACTCTTGAAGGTCAACTGGTAAGTTAGCCCTTAGAGATTTAGTCCAGCTAATAATGCAAACGACAAAATGTACTGGTCGTTTGAAATTCCACTTTATCTCAAATTATAAAATGCCGTTATAAATCTTGCATTCTAATTGGTCTGTGCATTCAGAGTGTATGCAGGCAGATGGAAGGCTGCTCAGCGCGCAGGAAGCTTCCCTTTCTTCAGTAGCAGCCTTTCGCGTGTATAACTGATATTGATTCTCTTTAGCGTCCTCGGATTAGTGCCCGCCCTCTGCTCCCCAAGCAAGAACGAGTGGGTATCCGGTATCCTGGAGTTAGGGTGAGTGACACTTGTAATAATGTATACTTGTCACGCAACATTAGGCTCTATTATGTAACAAATGTAATATGACTCTCTCTCCCCTCTCTCTACACACATTGTATCAAGTTAAGCACCAGAATAAGTATGCCGAATTAATCATCATTAAAGCAAGCAATCATAATCAAAGCCTCCACTAAATATCATGACAACACTTATTGAACTTTTATATATAAACCAGTAGCTATTTTAATATCCTCAGGGGAGGAGGGTGTATATATAACCAGTAGCTATTATAATATCCTCAGGGGAGGAGGGTGTATATATAACCAGTAGCTATTATAATATCCTCAGGGGAGGAGGGTGAGTGACATTTATTAAACCTGCATATTAAACCAGTACTTCACTTCACTCATCAATTAAGACGCCTAGGTACTTAACATAGTCTTTATGTTCAAGGAAGCAGATTCTCTGTTGTCCAGCATCATAAATTTCAATCGTAATTCTATTATCAATATTTGGGTTCGATGAATGGAAAATAACAAAATTCGATTTGCTAGAGTACAAACACTAAAAGTGTGCAACACTTTGCACTATTTAGTAGTAAATAGTGCTAATTAAACAATAGAAAACAATAGAATTAGATTAATTTAGAAGTATTTAGTGGTATTTATGTTACACACTCATAGTGTTTGTACTCTGATAATTAGAGTTAGTTTATTAGCGATTAGCCACTCTTGGACCTTAACAAGTTCATTGTTTATTGGAATTCAAGAATTTTAGGGCATTTGTTTGCATGTAAAATGTTTGTGTCATCAGCAAACAAGTGAAATTTAAGAACAGTAGAGCAGTTAGATATATCATTTATATATATACAGCAAGAATAAAAGTGGGCCTAAAATAGACCTTTGTGGGACACCACAACTGGTTTTCTTATGGATATAGAGCATTTTATTATGCTGCTCTTTATTTATGGAATTCTCTGCCTCATGATATCAAGACTGCTGGCTCAGTTTCCAGTTTTAAGTC